CGACGCATCTCCTCGAGGGACCCACGAAAATTTTCGCGAGGGCCGCGCGAGAAAGAAAACGAAGCGAGGTAAGAGAGAGAGAAAGCGACGGGAAGAGCGCAGGCGCGGACTCGAGATGCCTTAAGCCGGCGTTACAGTCGAAGCTTGATGTATTATGTAGGATTCACATCGCGTCAAACGTTAATATGCAAGTTGATTGGCTGCACTTTTCTCGGAACTTGGACACAGTTCTAGTTTTGAAAAATGTGCAGCCAATCAACTTGCATCCAAGGTCCCATTTCAGTGACGCTATGATTTAGCGTCAAATATAGTCACGTGACTAAATTTACCGCTCGCCTAGGGAAGGAGAAGTAGTTGCAAAATATGAGCGTCGTGAAACCACCGCTGGCTGCGTTCAAAAACACCACCCGAGTACCCCAGAGTATCATTTTATCCTTGTTTAACATACGGTGAGCAACAAGGATAGAATAATACGCTGGGGTACTCGAGTGACGTTTCTGAACGCAGTCCTTGCGACACCCAGTCACACCACGGCACACTGAAAAAGTTGAGACGGTCTCAACTTTTCCCCCCCCTACGTCGAGAAGTCACTAGAACTCATTTGCCGCTGGTTCCTAGCGTCCATGAAATTGCACCTTTAAGCCTTGTGTCCACGATTACAAGAACTGTGTCCAGGGGAGCGATCGCGTGCACGATCGAATTCGATCGGTCGACTTCTCATACGTCTCTACTCTACAGGTTTCATGGTTCATGCTTATTTATTATAGGATAGTTCCCCTCAGACCATAGATTGATCATGTACGAAGAGTGGTATCGGATGGCATATTCCTTCTCGAATTCGAATTCGATCGGTGCACGCGATCGCTCCCCAGGTTCTAGTTCCAAAAAATGTGCAACCAATCAACCTGTATCTTTTACGGAAGAGCTGCAAGTTGACTGGCTACATATTTCTCGAAAGGGGTTTGTTTTCTGTTCCTGCACTGGTGAACTAGTGCAGTAAGCTAGAATGAGAAAAAATATGCTTGTCTTACTCCAATTTATTGCACTAGTTCACTAGTGTAGGAACAGAAAACAAGCCTTAAGCCTTGTGTCCACGATCCAAGAACTGTGTCCAAGTTCTAGTTCCAAGAAATGCGTAGCCAATCAACCTGCAGCTATTCCATAAAAGCCGCAAGGTGATTGGCTACGCATTTCTTGGAACTAGAACTTGAACACAGTTCTTGGATCGTGGACACAAGGCTTTAGGACTTGGTCCAAGCAGCTATTCCATAAAAACTGCAAGGTGATTGGCTACGCATTTCTCGGAACTAGAACTTGAACACAATCCGTGCGTTCTTTTAGGCATCGGATACAGCAGTTTTTGCAGTAATCCATTCTTTTAGCCCGACTGCGCAGTCGACTGCACCGCAGATTTCCGTCAGCCGGCAAATCCGATGCGCAGCGGTTGCCAAATCCGATGCCTAAAAGAACGCACCCAGTTCTTGGATCATAGACACGAGGCTTTATTAAGGCCTGTGTCCACGATGCTAGAACTTGGTTCAAGTTCTGGGGAGCGATCGCGTGCACGATCGAATTCGATCGGTCGACTTCTCATACGTCTCTACTCTACAGGTTTCATGGTTCATGCTTATTTATTATAGGATAGTTTCCCTCAGACCATAGATTGATCATGTACGAAGAGTGGTATCGGATGGCATATTCCTTCTCGAATTCGAATTCGATCGGTGCACGCGATCGCTCTCCTGGGGCCCGATTCTCGAAATCATTCGAAGAAGAAACGTATACGAATATTCTGCTCTGACAGAAAAGATGCAAGTCGATTGGTTAAAGCCATGCGAATAGCCAATCAACTTGCAACTTTTCTGTAAGAGCAGAATTTTCGCATACGTTTCTCCTTCGAATAAATTCAAGAATCGAGCCCCTAGTTTCGAGAAATGTGTAGCCAATCGACTTGCAACTTTTATGGAATAGCTGCAACTTGATTGGCTACACATTTCTCGAAACTAGAACTTGGACCAAATTCTAGCATCGTGGATACAGGCCTTTAAAGGCCTAAAGGCCTGTGTCACAGTATAACCATACCCAGTAGGGTCACTACGCTGTCGGTGCCTTTGATGTGGTTGTCCCAAGTCACATGACCGATTGCCATGTTCAAAATTGTACAGCGCTTATATTTGAATGAACTTTCAGTAAAATGCATCCGTCAAAAAAGACATTAGAAATGTAAAAAAACGTCAAGTATATTTTGGTGTCTTTTAACACAAAATTATTTTGTAAATGTGCTCAATAATAGAATTAAATGTAAAAAATATTTATTTATTAAAAACAAAACAATTAAATACATTATTATGAAAAAGAAGGGAAATGAGTATATTATGCCAAATATATTATTAAAATAAATAATATATATTTCTTAAAATATATTTTGTATGTAAAATTTAATTTAAAGGAATACGTACAATATTTTATAAAGTTGCTTTAATTAATTTTCTTATACAAGGAATCTTATTATATTTTCCAATTAAGTGAGTTTCAATAATGAATAAGAATTATAAAATCGGCTTTTGTCTCAGTTCTGACAAATAAAGTAAAAGAGTATAAAAAATAAAGTAACTTTACCAAATAAATTACCAAATAAATAAATAACAAAACTGGATGACAATAAATAAATTTCTTAGAATGAGAAAAAAGGTGCATTTATTTTTACAATAAAAAAGTACTTAAATATAAAATGGAAAAATGTACAAATTAAAAATATTTATTTACAATTGATTTATATTAATAAAGGAGTCAGATATCTCCCGATTGTAACATTTTCAGCTACCGCTCCTGA